ATGCAAACATGGGTTGAGTTGAGTAGCTGCCACCTCTGTGTGGCAGAGATAAAAGATTTGTGTTTGCTAGAAATGCTCTGTCGTATTAGACACAACAGCTCAGTGCCGGACCTTTCCTTTCCAATTGCGCTTATAGTCTGTCAGATTGAATCTGAAGAATTTCAGTATCAAGATCAACTAGAGGTTGGAAATATGAGAGGAGAAAAAGAGCAGGGAGAGATGGCAAGACGAGGTGGATATCGTTCAGTGTAGTTTGGACAAAGTTAGTTAAAATGTGGCTTCTTTATCCTCTCAGACTGTAAGGAGGATTAGATGTTTGATTCTTTGCCCAAAATAGACCTGCCTCAGAGAAACATGCAGGCAATGCTGGATAGAATTTGATCTTCTCTAAGCTGCTCAACAATGGCTTTTAAAAAGCCAGTCTTATAAAGTTCTGCTAGAATATAGATCAGTCCTAGGGGTGGGAGTGGAAAGTACATTTACTTTACACCCTATTTGCAAGTCACAATGGGGGAGATGGAAAGCAATGGTTGAGAGTCATTAGGTAAATTTACTATAAGTACATCTTTCATCATTCCCTCGTAAATAGTTTATATACTGTGCCAGAGCATGGGGAGTTCTGTCACATCGCATTCCTGGTTTAACCAAGCATCTAACAGCTTATTCCTAACATATACCCCCTAGAGTGCTACACTGTATGATGTTCCAGGGGAAATTATGACATGTGCTGTTAATAGGTTTAACTTGTGTGTGTGCGGCTGTGTGTTTAAGAAAAGAAAGTGAATGAAGCATTTTGTCATATGATCTGTGGATGATGTTTCATGCCTGGTAATTAAATTTCACCACACAAAGCTTGCAATTGAGTGTGACCTCTTATCTAGTTACCAAATCAATAATTTGCTGTTAGCTGTTTTTCTGGGATTGTTCAGAATTATCCAAAATCAGAACTAACTAAACAAACACAAGCATCTGATCTTGGTGAGTCTGAGGTAATTAATTATTTGTTTGTTTAATTTATATTATTATTTATCTATTATTGATCCATATTTTATTTTATTATGTATCCACAGTTTTTATTATTATTTTGTTTGTTTATTATTTTGTATATTACTAGTACATTGATTTAAACAATGATAAACAGATATAAGGTACAGTTTAAAAATGATTCATCATCATAATGGCCACTTAAGTAATATTAATGATAGTGCTAAATAATATACAATATGAATTAAAATGAACATGTTTTTGGTCAATTAATGGGTATTGAGGCTTCCTCATAGGGCTTTGGTGGAATATTTAACATTTTTTGAGATGCACTGTTTTAGGCAATTATTAAAGAATATAATTAATCTGTCCAGGTGGTCATATGATCATAGATTACTAAACCAGGAGATCTTGCTGACCCTGCACTTTTCATGAGAATGAGGCAAAGTAATGGCTGTTTAGTTTCATCTAATTTCTATCATCCCTCAAGCTTATCAGCTTATTTCAAATAGATGCAGAGCTTTTTCATCCTTGCTTTTTAAAATGACCTAGGTTTCTGCTAAAGATTTCTTGCTTTTCTCAGGCTGTTAGTAGTTGTCCTTGTCCACCATTCTTCAGGGACCGGGCCCCATACATGTGTGATAGGGTAGTTCTCACATCTGCTTTGGAGAAGGGTGTTCCTTTGAGGTCAATCTGAAGAGTTCATTGAGAGAGACAGAACTAGGCAAAGGCCATGAGGTGAAAAAGTGTTCTTTGTTTGGAATGTGAAGTGGGATTTAGTAGTTTCGGCAACACTTTACTTGAAGGGGTGTGCATAAGACTGGCGTGGCACCTTCATAACCATGACATAACATACTGTATGTTATGTATATGAAATAGGGTTCAACTACATTGGTACACATTGAATTTGTGAAAATGTCAAATGGCTTTATGACAGCCAATGTCAAAACCAACCACCTGACAGTTTAATGTAATATTAACCCGTAAAGCTAAGTGGTTTCTTAAGTTTGATAATTAATCTGCTATGTCATGTTTATGACAGGTTGTGTTGTCTTAGTAATGTCAAGTTGTCATGACAAAGACTCTGACAGGTTATGATGCATTGGTTTATGTCATGTTAAAGAATGTCATATTTGCATTCACAATGTCATAATTGAGCAAATGACACTTATAAACATGCACAAAACTTCATGTGTCACGTCATGATTATGAACACTGGAGAATACTGGAACAACAACAGTTCATATCTGTGTTTGATGCCTTTTCATTAGTTGGGTTCTATCTTGTTTCTGAGGAGAAGCATCAAGAAAGAGCCTCACTGTGCAGACTGTGGAGTTTTGAGAATATTTGAGACAATAATGTTTGTTTTGCACTGTTCTTTTGAATGAGATCAAAATAGCCTACACTGGCTTGCTAAAGATCACATTAGTACTATATAAATGTACTGTATATACTCTTTATGGTTTGTTTATGGTGACTAGTGCTAATTTGGTGTTCATCTAGCTGGTGCAGTTCACCAGCCAAACCGATGTGCTCAGTGTGGTGAAACTGGTTGACCAAGGTTTGTTAAAGAAAATATTAGGTCAAATGCAGACGGGTGTATTTTGAGATGTATCAATTTGTCAAAGTTTAAAAAAAAAGTTTAAACTGTTTAAAAAGTTTGTCAAAGTTAGTGTCAAGTAATTAGAAACATTTACTAACAAAATGTTTTTTTTTTTTTTATAATTAATAAAAAATAGATGGATAAACAGCGGCATTTAACTAATTATATTCTAAAATAAATCAGATTCTAAATGCTTCAAATTTGAAGGATTGTTACTGGACAAGTTACATTATTATGAACAGCTGAAGTACCTTCAGGCTACTGAAATATGTAGCGTCACTATTTTTAGTTAGTTACTCCCCTGCTGGTCATGTCAGCATGAAGCTCTCTAGCGGTTTGTCAAGCTATTGTGTGTGTGTGTGTGTGTGTGTACAGTATGGGTTGAAGTCCTCATGAGTAATCCTGTCCAGCACATGGGTTCTACAATGGCCCTACAGTGGTGGTGGCTGAGGTTGATGAAGTGAAACTGTTCCAAGTGACAAGAAAGTCTGAAGGCACAACTGTCCCTCAACACAAAGCCTTCAGCAGGATGAATTCTGTGAAAGAGACAGCAAATGGATTGGGAGAGGCAGAAAAAAATAGCAAGAGAATTTGGGATGTTTCTGGAAAGACCTGAGGAAAAGGCAGTTCAAGGCTTCAAGAAGATTACTGCCAAGTGAGTCAGCAGCTGACCAGCGAGATGAGTGTAAGTCTGCCAGCTCATAAAATACACCAGGGGCTGTATTTCTTCCGTTTTTCCCTCCTCAGTCCCTCGCTAGTTTGAGTATGTGCTGCAGACGGTCTTTAGAGCTGTCAACACTGAACTCTGTAAACCTGTCCTCATGTGACTGAGGTCAGGGACCAGTAGACAGCAGAAGGCAGGGTGTTCACCTCATGCCACTGGGAACTTTCAGTCATTTTTAAACAGCTAGTAAAAATTTTAGCGCTAAGTTGAAAGTCCTCACTCTGCAAGACAATGCTGCTTTCCGTTGACATAATGCGTTTGTGGTGATGGTGTAAATTTTCATGGTTTCATTATGGGGTGTGGATGGATCATCCAGCTCGACCTGAAAGCTTTTTGAGGTCATGTGACCATGCAGGGCTTTTGCAAACTTTATGACTTAAACCCTTCTGAGAATGGAAGGGCAGTGTATTGGATTTAGTCATAGGCTGCTGTCCCTTTCTATTTTAAGAAGGTGATATCACTTCATTTATCCCTATTGTGTGTGTGTTTTCTTTGTATGCAGTTAAGGGTATTTGCTTTCCTCGACACCTCTGTATCCAGGGCTATGAATTAGAGACGGCCTGCTTATGCAGTCTCATAACAACAACAACATCAAACATGGGCAGAATCTCTCCTGTCTCTCTTGCCATTTAAAGAGCCATTAGACTTAAAGCTGTGGTTAAGTAAATATGTCAAATGGATTCTGCTTGAAAAATATAAATCGCATTTAGTTCATTTACAGGGAATCATTTAGCCAGCGAGATGTTTGGGCACAAGGGTCACATCTGTGATTTTCCCTCTCATTTCCTGAACGTCCTTTAAAAAAATACACATAAAATAAGTAACTGAGTCACAAAGAATGTGTATAAGTATATTAAACATCAGACTAGATATTTGCCACGGTTAAGTCAAATATCTGGTTTGGTCTGAAATCAGTTGGAATGAAGGGTTTACATGGCAGTTTTAAAAGATGAATTACTGAAATGTAATCTTTTAAAGTGCAAGAAACATACAGTTAGGGAAGGGCAATACATCAACATCAACAGCATTAATAATGATTCATTTTTTGAGGAAAATCATACAACCAATGCATTTTTTCCATGTTTTTATACAGTATATTGTTCTATTGTTCTTATTTGACAAAAAACAGAAATGCAAATGAATTTACATATTTTCATTTGATTAAACACTAGTCAACTAGTCAACATTTGACTGTATTAAATAAAATAATAATAATAAAAAAAATAAATAAATAAAAACAATTGAAAAATTGAAAATAATACAACTGATTTCATGGGCCCTAAATTACAAATAAATAAATAACACTAGCTTATTCTGTGAAGTTTTTACTTGTAATCTATTTTTTTTTTTTTTTTTGAGATCTCACAAATATGAGAAATTTCCTTCCACTTTAATGGTTTTAAATGACTATTGTGATAAATATCAGTATCCAATGATAAAATATTGTGATGTTTTTGTCCATATCACCCAGCTGCTGTAAACTTTCACATCTTAAATGTCAGTCTAGCTAGTGTTTGACTTCAGAAGCACAACAGTGTACCCGAGATCACCTGCATTATCATAAGACAGATGTTGACCTGCTTTATTATTCCATTGAATGTCGTGTCTTGCTATATGTCCAGATGGATGCTAAAGCCACACTTTTGTTGTTCCCCCACAAATATATATTTTTTTTCACCACCGCTGCAGGTGTTGACCATCTGGATTACGCTTATCTCCAAGGCAACAGCTGACCTGACCTGTGACGCTCTGCTCCTACTCTCCACAAATCTTACAGGTAAGTCTCCATAACTGATCTGAAACCAATTTTGCTTGGTGGTGTATGTAAGGCTAAGGTTTGGGGAAGCATGTCATAGATCAGTTTTGCGTGTCAACTTAAAGGCCTCTGGTGTTAATGGTCTCCCTTTTGAGGTATTGATAAATTGTCATGCCGGCAGATGGGATTTGTGGTTAAGCTGCATATCACTAGTACATCTGAAAACGGATTCTGTTGACCCCGAAAACCTTTATGGAACACATTTGCAGGAGATTTTGGTCTTTATTCATGCCGTTTTAAAACTGTATGGCTTTCTTTTTTCTTTTTTTTCATGACGTGAGTGCGAGTAAATGATAACAGATTTTTTTTTTTTATTAAACTTTCCCTTTAATACTATTTAAATCATGACAACTCTCAGAATAGTTTTAGAATGTTATTGAATATGGCAGTGTTAATGTATTTGGTCTTGGCATTCTAGATCTGTTACTTTGTTTCTGCTGCTGTTGATTATTTCTAGATATATAGTCACACAGCTGTGAGCATGTCAGATATGCAGCAGCATACAGAAAAATACACAGATCCTGTCACGGTGGTGGATTTCAAAGGAACTGATGGCATGCTGCAGGATTAGCTTACAGCAAACAATGAACCAGAGTATTTATATGTTGAGCTAGACTGCAGGATCATCAAAGACTGATCAGCTTGTGCTGTGCAGTGATGATGTGATTGCTTGCACATTGAATGTGAAGGGCCCAGCATATTAGCGAATATAGCAATTCATATATTTAGTCTTGATGGTGTAGATACCCTAACAAAGTAGGAACAAGAAGAATGATACAATACAAGCCAACACTTATGCCTTTTGTCCAGGCTGGTACTGCTGAGGTTCAACACGACCACGATCTGCTTGGTCCTCCCTGCAGTGCATCCACACTGCCTGCTGGAGGTGAAGCATGATGAAGACGATTTATAACCTCAAACTGGTGATTAGCTCCTCCAGCCAATGCCTCCATTCCTTTAGCGCAAGTTTGATGGCGAGCAGCTCCCGATTCCCAATATCATAGTTCCACTCCGCCAGGGACAGCCTCTTAGGCCATGTCCACACTAATACGTTTTCGTTTGAAAACGTATATTTTTCTCTCCGTTTTGGCCTTCCATCTACACTGAGACGCCGTTTTAAGTCACCAAAAACGTATCGTTTGGAAAACGCTCTCCAAAGTGAATAAATTTAAAAAAAGCCGTTTTCACGTTTTAGTGTGGACAGTGAAACCGGAGGTATTTCAAAACGATGATGTAAGTTTAGTCATATGATCCATGTAGTACCAATAGATATTCATGTTTAACGGTATTGTGCCTGTTATGTGTTATTCATTTTTACACTGTTGCTAAAATATGTTACTTTCTATGTTACTTAATATGTGCTATTCTTCATAGCACAGTACTGCAAATATGACAGATAATGTACTCACATTTGCTGTCCTACGGCAAAACAGGAGTTGCGTTTCAGACCAAAAATGGTGACTGAATGCGACCTGGATGCATCAGTGATAGTGAGATATTTTGCTAAATAAAATTATCCCGTTAGAAGAATTGCGCAATAACTTTATTATTTATTTCCCCCTCTGTAACGTCTCAGTGAGCTTTTGTGAAGTTTCACGCATGCGCAGTAAAGTGAATTTAGAAGTTTCTCATCCACACTGAAACGTCAGAAAACGCCTGAAAACACTAGAGTGGACGGAGAGCGTTTTTAAACGAAAACCCCGTTTTCAAATGTATCTGGATTAATATGGACGTAGCCTTAGAGTAGAAGGCACATGGATGGAGTTTGGGAGGATCACCCTGTCGCTGTGATAGAACTGCTCCAACTCCTGTTGAGGATGCGTGTTATATATATATATATATATATATACACTCACCGGCCACTTTATTAGGTACCCCATGCTAGTAACGGGTTGGACCCCCTTTTGCCTTCAGAACTGCCTCAATTCTTCGTGGCATAGATTCAACAAGGTGCTGGAAGCATTCCTCAGGGAGTTTGGTCCATATTGACATGATGGCATCACACAGTTGCCGCAGATTTGTCGGCTGCACATCCATGATGCGAATCTCCCGTTCCACCACATCCCAAAGATGCTCTATTGGATTGAGATCTGGTGACTGTGGAGGCCATTTGAGTACAGCGAACTCATTGTCATGTTCAAGAAACCAGTCTTAAATGATTCCAGCTTTATGACATGGCGCATTATCCTGCTGAAAGTAGCCATCAGAAGTTGGGTACATTGTGGTCATAAAGGGATGGACATGGTCAGCAACAATACTCAGGTAGGCTGTGGCGTTGCAACGATGCTCAATTGGTACCAAGGGGCCCAAAGAGTGCCAAGAAAATATTCCCCACACCATGACACCACCACCACCAGCCTAAACCGTTGATACAAGGCAGGATGGATCCATGCTTTCATGTTGTAGACGCCAAATTCTGACCCTACCATCCGAATGTCGCAGCAGAAATCGAGACTCATCAGACCAGGAAACGTTTTTCTAATCTTCTATTGTCCAATTTCGATGAGCTTGTGCAAATTGTAGCCTCAGTTTCCTGTTCTTAGCTGAAAGGAGTGGCACCCGGTGTGGTCTTCTGCTGCTGTAGCCCATCTGCCTCAAAGTTCGACGTACTGTGCGTTCAGAGATGCTCTTCTGCCCACCTTGGTTGTAACGGGTGGTTATTTGAGTCACTGTTGCCCTTCTATCAGCTCGAACCAGTCTGGCCATTCTCCTCTGACCTCTGGCATCAACAAGGCATTTCCACCCACAGAACTGCCGCTCACTGGATGTTTTTTCTTTTTCGGACCATTCTCTGTAAACCCTAGAGATGGTTGTGCGTGAAAATCCCAGTAGATTAGCAGTTTCTGAAATACTCAGACCAGCCCTTCTGGCACCAACAATCATGCCACGTTCAAAGTCACTCAAATCACCTTTCTTCCCCATACTGATGCTCGGTTTGAACTGCAGGAGATTGTCTTGACCATGTCTACATGCCTAAATGCACTGAGTTGCCGCCATGTGATTGGCTGCTTAGAAATTAAGTGTTAACGAGCAGTTGGACAGGTGTACCTAATAAAGTGGCCGGTGAGTGTATAAAGCATGGAATGTCTTTAAACTTAAAAATTCAAAACTAAAATAAATAGGCTACTCTCTGATTATGTAATCCATTATGTAGGCGTTCACAGTGATGGCGATCGCTGTAAAAACTGTCCGTGGGAAAAGTAACGTTTCACCGAATTGAATCTACATTTCGTTACCAATTTTTCAGTGGTAGCACATTACACTACTTTTATCCTAAAAAGTAGTTACGTTACTGTAACGCGTTACACACAACACTGCCCCTGAGCTCTCTAAAGTTGAGGAGCCCTGGTTCAATGCTTTTATATTCTGAACTCAGAACTCATTTTTCCATATAACGAAAGGGTACAGGGTGCAGCAAGATTTATTGATTGTTATCCCATGGTCTTTCATGGGGTAGGCCTATGTGACATTTAGTTTTCAATGCAGACAAAACTTCATGTGCTCAGAAAAGGCAATATAAGTATATGAAAGTTGTGTTGGCTGGATTCAGTTTGTTGTTTTTTCACGCTGCTTTGAAAAGCCCAAGACTTACTGGGGTTTATTTTGGTTTGCAATTGAATCAAGGGTAAATCGAGGACTAATGCATGCTAGAATACACCACAGATCTGTTTGTGTTCAGGGCTTTGCAATGGATTAGCGAGTGTGAACAGATTTTCTTTATACAACTTTTCTGCAAATAAAGTTTAAACAGTAAAATGCTGCATCAAGTTTATGTGTTGTGTTTTGTACATTGAACAGAGAAAATTGCTTTATGGTTGTTTATTTACAGCTGTTCTCCATTAGGCCTATGTTTCATTTAAGGGTCAGGTTTTGAGAAGAAAAAAAAATAAAAATAAGACAAAGGATGACATTGAGCCAGGGTGAAGAACAGTAAAACCTAATGCAGAGAGCATGCCCCACATAATTTGATCTCGTTAAAACTTTTGAGTGCAGACCATACCAACGGTAATTGACAGTAACAAAAACCACTGTCATTTGATAATATCATTTTTCGGCTGAATTGGCATTAGAGCAATAGGTTAAAGTTATTTTAAAAATCGTATCTGCTTGTATTTGGCACAGAGGATGCTTGTTTCAGAGAAAAGAGACCTGAAATTAACCATGGCCTTGTACACACTGCAACATTTTGTGATTGACAGCCACATGTAAATATGTTGTGAATTGCTTAAATTATTGTTCCTGTTCTTGGAATACAGGTGTCACTCCTGAATAATAACCAGCAGCATTATCCCATAAATTTATTTAAATTGCCTTAAAGGTGCATTGCGCAAGTCTCTGAGTTTTTGCAGAACTACGCCCCCTCTGGCGACAAGCAAAACTGCAACCAGAGGTGTACACGCTCATGGACCACATGCAGTTCAGTTCTATTTAAATCCTGTTAAATAAAATGGCGGCGTTTAGATCCATTTCACCTCAATTGTGCAACCCAGCCATGACAGATTAACAGAGACCCTATTTATGGATCTAGTGGCGGTCAGAATCCTCTTGCTCTCGCAGGGAAATAGTCCCTAGAAACACACATGTGGGCTTTCCTGGATTTATAACATCTAGTCAACTGATGTCACCTGTTTGCGTGTGTTTTTTTTTTCTTTTTCGGCGGGGCTTAATGATAAGACCAGGGTGTGCCTGCCCGGAGATGAGACTCTGTGGAGCTTTAAGAAATACATGGACTAGGTACTCCCCCACAACGTTTCCCCATTCACAATCTGCAAGAGCTGGGAGGAAAAGAGTGCCAGCCGTGCCAGTGGATTTACTGGTGGTGTTTGATGGGATGTTGTGGAGCCACACCCCCTCAACCAGGGCGGGTGAATTACTGCTTATAGACTTAGAGAGTGAATGCATCCAGCTTGTTCCTTTTTCTGTGTCCTGCACCGAGCCTCTTCCTAGAATGTGAATTCCCT